CAACAACGCTTCGAGTCCTTGATTTGGACTCATTTGGGCTTGGATTGAGTCGAATTTGGTGTCGTTGGGTTTGTATTTCCGAGACGCTTAGTTTGACTGTATGTTTGCTTAAATCGGAGTTCAGGTGATCCCAGATTAAATTTTTTAAGTTTCCAACTTGATTTTTGTCTCTAGATTCGTGCCCAATCATGATAATTTTAATATAACATATCAGATACATTATCGATTTAAATGCTTTTCATATTATTTGGTCATCAATCAAATGGTTCAAAAACTTTATAATGAATGGTTCTGCTTGCATAAAAGAATTGACTTCAAAGTGCAAAGAGACATTCAACTTGCTTGAAATTAAAATAGATGGACCATTGACGGTTTTTAGAGTTCATTTGGTGGCATTAATCAGTGAATAATATGGAAAAAACAACACCTTGAGAGGGTTTTTATATCATTTTTGATCGTCCACATATTTCTCACATATTTAATGAATGGTTCAATTATTATGAGAAACAATTTTTTTAATCAAATTCATCTTCAAATGGAGAACTATCAATTAGAAAACTTTTATCTTGATATTTTTACAGCACAAACTCTAAGAAAATCAGACACCTTACCACTCAAGTATATATACGAAGGAGTAAAAGCTCAACTAAAACCTTGAACAAGCGCAAAACTCGAAAATATCATAAGGTAACAATGAGGAATAAATCTAGTCAGGATAGAGAGCATGTCAGGCAGATTTGTTGGGGGTTAACCTTTCCAGTAGCTCACCAAATGATACGGCCAACTTGAAGCAAAGTAGGCCAAGGTAGCATTGCTTAAATCTATCAAGGGGGTCCTTTCCGATCCAATCTATCAATGAAGGAGGATTGAACTGGCAGGTATTCTATAGGGTAAAATTGACCTAAGGTGGCAATTTGTTCCCCCTCCTAGCCATATTCTAAATTTAGTTAACTAGTGATGGAAATTGATCTAATCTAAATTCAAATTTTCTAGACACATGTGCGACCATGCGGAGTTCACAAAACAAGGTGTTACACCCTTGATTGCCCAATTCTTTACTTCCTCCATCAATCGTCACCTACGTATGTTGATGATAGATGTTCAACGTCCATCTTCTTTATCATCTTGTTTCCCACCATTCAAGAGGGCGACCAAACAAATCACTCACTATCACCTAACTTGTAATGTTCTTGGCCGACTTTCTCCTTATGTCTATCGACAACCAATATTTGATGTTTTCCGGTCATTGAAATTCGATGCACGTTCTTAGTTGCCCGATCTTCCCTCCTATCAGGAGAATGATAAGCTACTTGCCCATCGATGCCCAATTCTAGCGTTCCTTATTGACTATCGTTTGAAACTTGTCAGCATACATTGTTGAATGTCCGTCAACCGCCAACTTCTAGCACTAGCCTTCTCAATCATCTCATCTCCTATCATATTAAGAAAGTGATCCACAATTGGCTAACTTTTGACATTCCCAGTCGAGAGATGTCCAACATCTGCCAACAACAAGCGCTTGATGCCCATCTTCTCGATAATACAATCTCCCCTTTAATCAGAAGAACCAAGCTAAACACTCACAATAGCCCAACTTTTATTGTTACCCATTGATTATCTCCCAATGCTTGCCAAAAGGCTAATGTTTGACTTTTGTCAGCCACTAATGTTTAACACCCACTTTTTGAGTTGGCGGTCTCACCTCCAATTAAGAGAATAACAAAATCAATCGCCAACCATCGCCTGACATCAAACATTAACATTGAACATCTAACAAACAACATTTAGTGCTCATATTCTTGATCGCCCAAGCTCCCCTCCTATCAAAAAGACAACGAAAACAATTGCCTTCAATTGCCCAACGTCCAACATTCCTATAAATTATCTCTCAATGCTTTACAATGTCTAATATCCATATTACCAACTTCCCGATCTCTCTTAAATATTAGTAGAATGACCAATTTGATTGCTCACTATCACCCAACGACCAACATTCTTATTGAACATCATTCAACACTTAATAATGACTAACAAATGACATCCACCAACAACATCAGTTCGACACCCATCTTTCCATATGTCTGGCCTCCCATCTTATAAGAAAATTGACTAAGTTGACAACCCACTATCACGAGAAATCTAACATTCTAGTCAACCATACTTCAACACTTTCCATGATCAATGTCTAACACTCATCTTCTTGGCTACCTAACCAATTCTCCTATCAAAAGAATGGTAAACAAATTGCCCTGATCGCATGACTTTTGATGCTACCCATCAAACACCTCCTGATGCAAGTTAATGATCAACTTTTGATCTTTGGTAGCTACAAACATCTAAAATTGAGCTTCATGATCGCTCAATGTCAACTCTTATCAGAAAAATGACTAAGTTGATCATTCATTGTCGTCCAACTTCTAAAGAAGATGAACCAGTGACGGAGCCAGAACTTTTTTCATATGGGGCACAAATCATGAATACTACAAATATCTTCGACCTTTTTCATCTGGACTTGGGACAATGATTTTAAATTTTTTTTTAGACTTGTTATAAAAAAAAAAGTTAAATTATATAATAAAAAAACTTGCAATCAAGAGCACATGCTATTCATATTCTTCTTACATGACACCTACAATTTCTCTCATCAAGTCTTCATTTTTTGAAAATATTGTACAATTACTTTATTATCAATATTATTAAAACTATATTTTTCAATATAAGTCTAGACTTTGATGGAAAATTTAATAGACAGTGGATTATGATAATTACTTCTAAAAATTTCTAAAAAAAATAATGAATAATTACTAGAAAAATTAAATAATTTATTTTTCAAGTGAAAAAACAAAAAATTATTCAACACAACTCAACGTACATGAAAAGTTTTAATTTAAAACCTTAAGACTATTTAAACTCAAATAAATTTTACCACTTATATTTATTTTTTTAATTTGCTAAAGAAGAAATATAATAATTTAAAAAAAGAGATACAAACAAAATCAATTTGTAAATTAAAATTTTTTACTCAATATTCAAATTCCAACCCTTGAAGAAGAAAATCGTGCACCTCTTTACTCGCAAAGAAAAATTTTTCAGACAGTTTGTACTCTCTCAGTCTCTCTCTCTCTCTTGAATAGAACAATTTTTTTTTCATGAGTCTAGTGGGGGCACGTGCCCCCAATGCCCCCACCTTGCCTCCACCCCTGAGATGAACCTACCATTCTTGTTAGAAAAAATGACTAAGTCAACTTCCCACTATCACACAATGTCTAAGATTCTTATCATCCGATATGTAACGCCTGCCATGATCAACATCTGACATCCATCTTCTTGATTGTATGGTCCTATCAAAAGAACGAGCAACAATACTGTCCCCATGGCACAACATTTGATGCTACCCTTCAACCGCTATCTAATGTCAATCAATGATCAACTTCCAATGTCTAGTAGCTACAACACCTAAAGTTCATTTTCATGATCACTCAATTTCAACTTTTATTAAGAAAATGACCAAATTGATCATTCAAAAACTTCTAATGTTCTCCGTTAATTGCTAATTAGCATTCATCACTCAACAATAACTATGACAACTTAGAATTCTCCTATTAGCACCACATGAGAGGTCTCTCATAGTTCAAGCTTATTATTTAGTGTCAGTGCTTTCTACATTTACAAGAAATGGTGTCCTTTTTAATACTAAACTCATAGGAGTTGAATTGTTTCAACTAGACTAGGCTCCTTAGTTTTTTCACTTCCTAGGGTTTTCATGTAAAAAATCTTGTATTCCTGTGTGTTGCTCTCAACATATCTATTTTATGTGTAAGATCTTCGCACAACCAAAGGCATTAACTTATCTCTGCCACTACAATTTTTTCAACAAGCAACAAAAATGATGTCTATTATCAGTAGAGATTCTCCTATGATGAATTATTATATTAAATAAATAACTAAATGGTTCTATTTAATTCAAATTTTCTCTTTCTCATTTTAATTCAAGGTATATTAGAAACAATATTAAGTGAATTAAAAAAAATTGTTGAAAAACTATGAATACATTTACATTCTAATTAAGTTATATGTTTAAATCATCACCATCTTATTGTATAGCTAAGCCCAATTAAAGCTTGATTGTGGGTTAAATTTGATAAGAAAATAAATAAGCATAAATAAACAAGAATTTATAACTCTTCTTATGATTATATTGAACTCCATAAGAAAAAATGAATAAACTTAAACAAGTCAGTACTACACTCATCTAGATTTATTTGCATCCCTAAACCCATCCAAGCTCATAAATTCTTCAATAGATGCCTGAGTCACATTCTCTTAACTTTGCACCCAGCTTCACATACCATTTTCACTATAACAATAGGTAAGCATGTAAAGGTAACCCTCATTCCCACTTCTGTTAAAAATGAATATCCATAAATTCAATTAAGATGTATTACTTTCGGAACTTCAAACATTTAGCAAATGCAACAAACCTCTACCTAGGATCTATCAAAAGTAAATCCTAATACATAATCTTCAGAAGAACCAACCAGAGCTCAAACGACCAAGTCATTCTGATACCGCTGAACTTGAAAGTTGCATAATCTCTTCAATCATCCACTGAGGTTTTAGCACTTCGAAAAACAACTCAGTCATCAGTCCCACCCAGAAAAGCAATCGTGCATTTCTAAACCCTAAACGAAGAACCCGAAGGTTGATCAGGAAAGGTATGGAAACCCACCAATTAAGCTGTTCGACGCATAAAACCAATCAAGATAACAAAGCACGCATCATCACTTCTCCCAGACTAAAAATAGTAAACAAAAAAAGGAAACAGTCTAAAAAAGAAACCATCTGTAGCTATCAAAACAAGCCAAACGGTCGCTCATCATCTGATCCGCATCAAGAAACGCGTGACTTACCTATATCAGACGCCAAAACATAACTCGCTTTCTTATGCCTTCCAACTGCAAGTTTTAAGACAGATAGAGAGAAACAGAGAGAGAGCTTACTCCTGGTAGGCGGAGAGAAGGAAGATGGATGCGAAAAGAACTCTCCCTGCAAAAGAAAAGAACCCCATAGTTAGTTCAAACCCCAGCTCGGCAGGTCCAAGAGATGGACCTAAGACAGCAGAAACTGAGCGATATTCCGCTTCTTCCCAATCCCGTCAGGCTGATTTGCTGGCAAAAGGAGCTCGGATGCCAGCGCCCGATTCAATGCTCGACGTCTGTGCAGAGAAGACAGAGCTCTGGTATCGTCCAAGAAATTACCCTCAGTATGAGCACCAAATTACGGGGGTGCCACTTAGCTCACCGGCAAAAGCGAAGGCGGCGTTGTAATCGATTTTAGGGAAAAAAAAATATTTATTGGATCTGAATATTCTGTCAAAGTTAATAGTTATTTATAAGAAATTAATTAAACTTTATTTTTATTTATTTTAAAATGAATATAATTATTGCGTCCCAGTGTATTCGCGGCGGTACAAAAATATAATATTTAACGTATTAATGTTGTATGAAAATCTGGCACGCAATCAGATAAAAGAGATAATGTTGCATTTATAGGAGACACCAAGATTTTTACGTGGAAAACTCCTGAAAATAGGGAAAAACCATGAGGCATAGCCCAGTTTAAATGAATCAACTATTATTTGCAGTCGATTACAATTGAGGCTCTTCCTTAGGGGCAAGGCCTTGGCTATGTACATTATATGAAATACATAATGAGAAAAGAGAGTCACTGTTGACCTAGTCGGAATGACCGTAGTCGATGGGTAACATAAGTCGGAAGGACTGTAGTCGGCGGGTGACGGAGGTCGGTAGGATTGTAGTTGGCAAGAGACGTAAGTCGACATGACCGTAGTCAGCGGGCGACGGAGACCGTAGTCGGTGGGTGACGTAAGTCAAAAGGACCTTAGTCGGCAGGCGACGGAGGTCGGAAGGACCGTAGTCGGTGGGTGACGTAAGTCAAAAGGACCTTAGTCGCAGGCGACGGAGGTCGGAAGGACTGTAGTCGGTGGGCGACGTAATTCAAAGGGACCGTGGTTAGCGGGCGACGGATGTTAGAAGGGTCGTTGTCTAACGACGAAGGTTAGAAAGATGGTGTTAGGAAGAAATCCAGCAATGGACAAAAAATCCAGCATTAGATAGATGTCCCGCGAAAGTGAGACAATAGGCAGAAGTCCGGCGTCGGGTAGAAACTTGGCGACGAGCGGAGGTCCGGCGTCGGGTAGAAGTCCGACTTCAGTTGGCGGCTGAGGAGAACTCCAGCATTAGATAGTATTCGGACAAAACTCCGGCGTCACTTGCAGGTCGGGCGAAATTCTAGCATCACTTGGAGGTAAGGCAAAATTCCGGCGTCATTTGGAGGTCGGGCCGAATTCCGACGTTCCGTGGTAGTTAGACAAAATTTCGATGTCCCATGGAAGTCGGGCATAATTCCAGCGGTGGTTGCGGATGAGTTTCTTACCTTCTATCCTTCTTCTCTTCTCATTATTCTCTTCTTCTTCTTGCTTGGGGTCCCCTCTCAAGAGAAATAAGGGATATATTTATAGATTTCTGAAGTGGCATGGACCGTAAATATGTGAGAGATTAGGGGTAAATGGGGAGTGGTTGGATGGACGATCGATATTGAATCTCTTGATCGTGTATCGTTTGTCAAAAAATTGAAAGTCTTAATGATGTCGGAATTCAGCAATCTTGGGCTCGTTGAATTTGTCTCGTCGAGCCGCTCGATTCGATTACAAGAATGTCATGTTTGGAAACAGTTTGGTAACCCAAATTGTGGTTCGGCCCTTCCAACAGTGCTTCGGGTCCTTGATTTGGACTCATTTGAACTCGGATTGAGTCGAATTTGATGTCGTTGGGTTCATATTTTTGAGACGATTAGTTCGACTATAAGTTTGCTGAAATCGGAGTTCAGATGATCCCAGATTTAATTTTTTGAAGTTCCCAACTTGATTTTTGGCCTTGAGATTCGTGCCCAATCAAGATAATTTTTTGATGACATATCAATAATAATTTGAAATGTATTCTGAATAAAAATTTATCCATATTACTTTCATTCATTTTTTTTTCTAATTTATAATATCAAATTTCGTGACAGTTATTTGATATGCTTCTAACAAATATTGAATAAATTATTAGTGTATTTAATTTAAAAATAATAACTAAATAAATAATACAGACATCAAATATATGTATCATGAAAACATTTCTTTAATAATTAATACTTTAAAACATTTTTTTGTAATATTTATTTTTATTTTCTGGCAAAAATAAAATTTATTATTTTATAATTGGATTGTATAAATTTTATTTTATCCATGAAATTATAATGCTATTATCTTAATTTTTAATATAGATAATTTTATATCATATGTAAATACATATTATAACTCTATGAGTGATAAATATATTTATTCTATATTTTTAATAACATATATTTTTGATATTTACATCAGATGTTATCCTTGTCCAATTGTCTTCATCTATTTATCTTTGTATTATAAATGTAGGCTTCATTTGAAACAGTTTTTTTATTGATTCTTAAAATAATTTTTTGATATAAAAATTTAAATTTATATAAAAAAGATGCCTTAGAAGCAGTAAGAAAGCTGTTTCAAAACTGTAATCTCAATATTAACAAATTTGAGTTGATAGTGGTGCTAGTTAGTTTAGTTGAATAAAATATTAAAGAAGATTAATATTTTGAAATTGCGTGTGCCCGCGTCCGGCGTCTGCCTGCGTCCCGCGTCAGTCCGCGTCCCACGTCCGGCGTCTGCCCACGTCCCGCGTCACTCGCGTCAGTCCGCGTCTCGCATCTTGCGTCACTCCCACATCCCGCTTCAGTCTGCGGGTTGGGTCGGGTCTAGAAAATCGACCCGTTTGCAAAAACGAGTCGGGTCGACCCGAACCCTACCCGTTACCCGAAATTGACACCCTAGGTGACATCTTGACCCTATTTGCAATTCTAACCTGAACAACAAAGGGGAAGAAGGAAGAGATAAGCAAGTAAGGAAAAGAGCTACGAAATTATATTACTCTCTATGAGCATTAATTGCATTATGTCCTAAAAATGTCTTTCAACCCAATATTATAGGGTTAAAAATACTACATGAGAGATTATATCTAATAAGTAATACAATAAATAAATAATTTGAATATTGTAGGCAAATGAAAATGGCTTTGATGGCTACAACACCACTAGCAAGTGCCTTTGGTGAAAACCTAGGATGTGTGACTACAGTTGATTACTTTAGCAAATTTGGCCTCTAGCTAAGATGTTGACTTGATTGATGAAGTTATTATTATTAGGTGGATGAGCACTTGCTTCTTGCCCCTCATTCATGGTGTTATCTGCCTGGATGGATAAAAGCTAATGTGGACATAACCCATCTTTTTTCATGCAAAGCAGACATTGATGAAATTATTTATGATGAGTGTGGTACCATCATCTTAGTTGTTAGCCACACATGGGAATACAAGGATAGTAATATTGATGAGCTTGAATCTATGATCTTCCTAAAGACCCTCATCGCCCCATGGACATATGATTTAAAGGATATCATTATTGAAGGGGACAACCAGAGCATGCTCAATCACCTCAGAATGAGCTTTCACAAGAAGACTTGAACCACCCATTCTCATGAGGCCCCGAATTCCTCTTTCTTTCTACATTTCTATGAGGCAGTTTTTTAGTACATTCCTAGGAACTACAACAAGGTTGCCTTTTTTTTATTTTTTTATTTTTGGGAAATTTTACCTTAGATTGTAATCTTGTATGGGAAAGATCATATCGTTGCTATCTTCTTTCTTTTTCTTTTTTATTTTGTTTAAGGAAGATAATGATATAAGTGTATGCTTATAGTGGTATTTTTTGCTTCTTTTGTTAATGCAATATGCAAGCTTCTAGGATCATTATCTCTGGATTATTGAATATATGTCCCTTTATTCGAGCCAAGTTCTTCTAATGTGATTGCCTTAATTGGGCAACTTCTTATGAAGTGAGGGCCCTCAAGGAGGATCTCCCTTGGCCTGAGTAATTGTGCCTTATGCAAGTGCCTCATGACATGGGCGAGTGTTGTATCTAGTTAAATTCTTTTTATGGTAAATGTCTCTCTTGGTTGAGCTCCTCTAAGGTGAGTGCCTATTATAATTAGTTACTTGACTTCTAATTCAAGTGATTCATTATCTTTTCATAATGCTTTATAAGGATATTGTACAGGGTGAGTGCCTTGATCTTTATATATGAAAGTTTTAGATATTTATGACATCTTACTTAGCTTAAGGTGAGTAGGAAATGGTGCGCAACCCCCATTTGATGATTCTTGAGGAGGTAGCATTGTCTCACAATGTGTCTGTCGTTTACTCTTTAGATGGCCTGATTTAATTGGAGATGATGAGCGACATCTATATCCAATACTTTAATCCCATCTGTAAAGGGGTCATCATATCATTAATATGCTAATTGTTTCTATAAAAATGAGTAACTTGCATCTTCTAAAAAGATGCACATTTATGTGCATTAGCGAGGGTGTCACTTTGAATATATAGAAATTTGTGATATATCATTGAAAATTTGACATCTGTACTATGTAATACTTTGTCTTCCCCGATCCCTATTATAAATTCAAGTTAGGGATCATTTTGTTTATCATTACTCTACTCTTACCTTATCTATCCACCTTGCCAAATGACTCACTTGATCTTTAGCTTAAGTGACATGCCGAGTCATCTAACTTGATATGCTAAGAAATTCTTATGTTTCAATTTTCATGGTCCTTCATTAATTATAGGGCATGATATTGAACCGTTAAAACCAAAGTACAATATTAGCGATGATTTCATGGTTTGAGCTCCTTCTTGAGGAGAGTCTCCAAATTCATCAAAGGATGAGGAAATATGTTTTTATCTAGATCGATTTCATTGTGGTTGATGACTATCCCTTTCTAGTAATGTGTTAGCCATCCTCAGCCTCTATGAGCTAGTTCTTTCCTAGATTTTGTTGAGTATCTTAATCCTCTTACTTGCATTTCTTCCCTCTTATGAGAGAGACAACTCTAGCAGAGTGCTTACCTTTTCATAATTTGATCAGATCCAGAAAGCTTGAAGCCGTCTGCATTCTTTTCTCACCCTTACTTCTAATTAGGATTTATTTGTTGAGAGAGACGAGCAACTATAGGAAAAAGTTCCTTTTTATGGAGTCAACCACAGTATGTTTTGTGGGTACTAGTCCCAAGGAGATGCCCCGTACAGAGTAGCGATTCCTAATCCTTTTTCTTGAAGAATTTGAGTTTGTCTTGAGCTTGCAAAAGGAGGGGATGAACTACAAGCACTACATACTCGACACACCTGATAAGGTGGTAGCTCATCTTCCATCGAGTGAGTCTTAATTCCCTATCCTTTTGCGACTTAGCCTTTAATTTTCATTATTTCTTATTTTTTTCAATTGTCAAAGTGCAATCCAAAACTTCTTCCTATCTTGAAGTCAACAAGTCTTTTAGAGATGTGCATGGATTAGTTAAGAGTCATATATGGTCATACTCATCGCTCTGGGCTAGAGATTTTGTCTAGCAAGGTACGACTCTTGAGAGACTTGCTTTTCGAGTATATAAGGTGTTAGTATTTTTTGGTCCAATTTTAGATTAGTTGTTCTGCAAGAATCATATCAATGTCTTTTTCTATATATAGGCTTATAGGAAGTTGTAAAAGGGACCTCAAGAGAACGAATCAATAAAGACTTGTGAAGCTCTCTCTCTCTCTCCATCTCTCCCCCTCTCCCTCTCATCCAAGAGGAGCAAGTTCCTCAATAAATTTCCAAAAAATCGGAATTAGGGCACGATGGAGTTGATCAAGGGGAAGGAAGACGAAGCATCTTGTAATTAAGAAAGGGAGGTAAGACATTGGATCAGTGCGACGGACAGCACAGTAGATCATACTAATTTGTTAAGGCACATAAGGAAACATACAAACAAATGTGTGATTTCGTTCGTGTGAGGCAGCTCGGTAGACTGTTCGCGTGGAAGAAACGGAGGCGTGACTGTCGTGCTGGGTTTGGGCCTGGTGCTGCGAACGAGAGGCATAGAGCGGCCTGATGCAGTGAGCAGGAGTAGGTTGGGCTGATTAGGCATATACAACAGACTGTCGCACGAGAGACTGGACAACGAGTTGTGTGTTGGAGCTAATGATCTTGTATGCAGTTTTCAACGAGCAAACCTATTCGTCTAAGTTTCTTTGGGGCCTAATCTAGGTGTGCATCACATTTTAGGGATTTCATCCGGTTCTTGACGATCGTGTATTATGCAAATGGAGAGGATAAGTGTATGGGTTTCTTATGGCCGAAACAAGGTAGAGAAGAGGATTACACATGTTGAGCTTGGATCATCGGGCTCGTGATCAAGGACACGGAGGCATGCAAAAGCACACCAAGGCAGCAGAGCCCTGCATTGGGTACCCATACCCACACCCACCCACATACCCACCCATACCCAATGGGCATGGGTGGGTATGGGTACGCTCATAGCCTCGTGGGTGGGTATGGGTGGGTACTCAACATAAGAGGAGAACCAATTTACATTACTAATCATCTTATACATGCAATATATTATAATAATCCTTACTATACAGTGCGCAACACTGAACCGCGTCACGACCATGATAAATTTTGATATGTGGCTTGAAAGTTTGCAGCCAAAGAAAATGGCATAAAATCTCATTTTTTTTTTTTAATAAAATTGGACTAAGGTAGAGATTGTTAGTAATCTTTGGTCTAGTTTTAAATTAGTTATTCTGCAAGACATCATATCAATGTCTTTTTTTATATATAGGCTATGAAGTTCTCTCCCTCCATCTCTCCCCCTCTCCCTCTCATCCAAGAAGAGTAAGTTCCTCAAGAAATTTCTAACATAAGGTAATGCCAAGAGCTCAATATGCAAGTTTGGTTGCTCAAAAGCAAATAGCATAGTAGCAGAGTTTATATAACTCTTCAAGAGAAATAAAGAGACTCATTAGATCGCCTTAAAAATGTGCTTGGTTCCCAGCTGCATAGGAGTACGATTATAAAAATAGCACTTGCATACACGTATTTAATACCTAATGTTTTTCGATAAAAAAAAAAAAAAATCTAGCACTGCTGAGAAAACCTACTAGTGAGAGCGCAGGTCTATTTGACAAAAGAATGTGTATGTGTATGGACGAATCCATTATGCTTCGCATCAAAGAAGTCATGCATATATAGAAGGCCATAGCAAATGCATATATATATATAATTCCCAGAACTCTTCACGAGGATTGAAGGCAAGATGGCTATTGCGATTGACATTGTAGCAAATAGCAAAATTAAGAAGGAAAAATAAAATCATCAAACAACAGTAAACCAAATTAGTGTCATGTGCTCGCTTATCAAAATCTGCTTCATTCTCCACTATAAAATATTCAATATTGGTTCTGCCCATTTTTCAAACTCAAATGCTAAAGCTTTAAAAAAAGCATTCAGAAGATGATTAAATAAAACTACTGTTCAAGAATTAGAGAAATAAAAATGAGAGAATGAATATTGGAGATGAGGAGTAAACACCAAAATCACCAAACAAGCAAGAAAGTAAAAGCAGCGGAAAAGTAAAGGACGCCGAGATTTTACGTGGAAAAAATTCAAAATAGGGGAAAAATCATGGAGTTGCACCACACCAGGAAATTCACTATGAAAATCTGGAGAAATAAGTATAGATCTCTCTTCTCTCTCACTCTCTCTTTGCTTCTCTTATCAAATGCACCATTCTCAATATCTATTCACTCAAAATACAAGAGAAAGCCAAGAAAATTTACCCCAAGGGACACAATCCTTCAGAAAAATGAGAAGTAAAACCATCTAGTCCGTCTCATTGCGGCGTTAGTTTGGGGTGTTGCAACGCTCAAACCTTTGTCTTAATCATTGCGGCACCCTGCTCAGCGTCGGGGTGCTCAGGAACATAGCGTCAGGGCGCTCGGGAACACAGCGTCGGGATGCTCGGGTATGTAGCGTCGGGGTGCTTAGGTACACAACACCAGGACGTTGTACGGGAAAAAAATTTCGGATGCGAAGCACCAAAACCCAAGCAAGGGGTAAACCCCCCGCAACCCCCAGTGAGCATGAGAAACTTGAGGTCCGATGCAACAGAACAATCCGATTGATCAACACGATTAGATGTCACACATAATAAATATAAACTTGATAAAAGTTATGTAAAAAATAACATCAATTAAGTTTAACAACTAATATGTTGAATATGACTAAATATATAATGATAAAGTTCCCTTGTCACAGGTATCATATAAATATATCCAAACTAAGAAAAAAAAAAAGGATGTACGAGAGTTTCAACTGAGGATTAAATTCATTGCTTTCACGAAATTCTCGTTATGGCAACTTTCTTTCATTCGAAGAAATATCAGAAACATTTAAATGGACGCTCTTAGTTTTAATTTGGAAATTTCATACCCTACTGTTTGCTAAAATTCTTAGAAGGAAAAAAGTTTCGATGGAGGTATATCACATAGAAATTTTCAACAACATGAAACAATTATAATAGCTCCATCAAAATGCAATCATTCTAAAGAAGACATATTTTTTATAGAATAGTTTTTATCTTCTTTTGAAAGTCCTCTACAGAGTTTACCAATGAGTGAGACTTAGGAGGAATATAATCTTCATTAATAGTTTTATATCCACATATAAACCTTCATTAAAACTCCTAGGATTCTACTTTCGAGCTTGCTACCACAACCTCATGAGCTCTTTCAAGGGGCCTGGCAGAGGGAGTCCTTATAAACTTTGGTTCATGGGTCAACAAGAGCAAAATATCTCAAGCTTTATACACAAAGCTACAGTAAGCACACTAACAAGGCTTCGCAACTCTCATATATTTACAAGAAGAGATTCATCCTAGGCAAAAATCCTCGTGGAATATAGAGGTGATAAAACAAAAAATTTAACCTACAAATTCTCTCAAATCAACCCATCAAATAAGTTTTTCATTATACTCCAGCTCGCCACAATATCTCATGCTCCAACGGCTAATTTGAGGATTCCTTTGGGATAACTTTATTATCGTTTTCTAAAACAATTTTTTATTGTATAAAAATTTCTTGAATTAGAATTTTTTGGGCTAAAAATTTACTTTAATTAGCCTTATCCCAATGATTATGGTCGGCCTTTGAATCATCATTAATCTCCTTTCATTCATGATGGGATGTTAAAGTTAGCTTCCATAGTGTATGAACAAGATCAATGGCTGATATTAGGAAAACTTGGTGAAAGGATTCAAGAAATGAACTTGCATCAAAATAAAATAAACAAATTTTCTGCTCTCAAGTTTTACAAGCTACCCAAGTGCGGCTAAGCAAAGTCCTTATCATGGAAAACCAATACTCGCCTACAGGTATTACCTCCCTCTCTAGTCTGTCATGACTCATCATCCAATATGCTTTCATATAAAAGTTTGTTAAGCTCCAGCCACTACTAACGAGTCTTTTTTGTGTCCACTATGCGTTCCAGTGACAAAGTGATATATCAAAATAATAAGAATAAAAAGTAGGCAACAGCATTATCAGTACAATATTATATGAACACATTACTACAAATCTGTTCTTTTAGAAACAATTGACCTGGAGTACGAGCACCTGAATCTTCTGAAGTTTGGAGGACAAGATTCAGAGCTATGGAACCTAAGCTGTCTCAGATCAGAGGAATATACAAAAGATTCAAGCCTCATATTCTAATGGTTTTCACTCAGATAAGCTATGCACTACTTTACTTCTTCACAGAAGCTTCATTTAATCATGGGATGAATCCTCATATCTATGTAACTTATAGGCTTGTTGTCGCCGCCTTAATAATGAGTCCCTTTGCCTATTTCTTAGAAAGGTAGAGCTATTCTATTCTTTTACAATATTTGATACTACATGGAAAGTTCTCTTGGTGCTTAATATTGATGGCTTTATTTTAACTGTCACAGGAAGGCAAGACCAAAGCTAACGTGGGCATTATTTCTTGAGATTTTTGTGCTTTCGATTCTAGGGTGAATTCATTTTCCTGTGAAATTCAAACGCCTCTTAAGTAGAAGATATCACAAAATTCAAAACTGTAGAACTAAGGATGGATCATTCTTTTTCTTAACAGGGTCAGCCTTACTCTGAATATGTACTTCGCAAGCTTAAGATGCACCTCGCCAACATTTGTTGCTGCAATGCTTAACAACATTGCAGCCTTGACATTTATTATTGCTGTTTTACTAAGGTATGTCATCTTCTCCAATACTTCGCACTAGTGACTTAGAAACGGCTGTCCATTGAACTTGATAATTGCACAACTTAAAGATGTTCATTGTACTTATTCGAAGTAAAAAAAGCTAGACGGCTTATTACTTGGTGTCGATTCCTTCCCAGTTTCAGCGGATCTAACTCCAAGAAGAGTTGGTTGGGGCTATACAATTAAGTGCCCCCTTGCTTGGGGATTTGAGGGCAGAGTTTCAACCCCCAAAATAATATGAAATAGACTCATTCCTCCAAGGAATATTTTAACTTGTATTTTGTGAGAGTATTCTGATAGGAAGTAATTGTAGAAATCGAATAACCCTTGGCTGAAAGTTTAATTTCAACATGCTCAAACTTAATCCACAAAAAGAATTAATAGGAAAAATCAGAGAAAAACCCTTTTTATTGATGATAGATGGAAGAAAACAACAAGATACAATGAATCCTCAATTAAAGAGGAGGATTCGGCTCTCTCAATTCCCTAGCCTCCGGCTAGAGCCGAAAACACCCTAAGAACACTACAATTTCAGCAAACAAAGCATATCCCTACCCCTATGGAAACAACCTTACCTAAAGCATACAATAAAGATGTAAATCCCAAAACAGCCCCTCCTTTGAATTTTCCCTCCTAAAGAAGCCCTAATTTCCTTCTACAACTGGTTGTTGGACCCCATAGGAGAGGAGGGTGGGAGTTGCTAGGCTGTTATATACTAAGGCCAATCTAAGATGGACTAGCTAGAAAGGTCTGACAATACCCCCTCCCCAAAGACTCACCTTGTCCATAAGGTGGAAGAATGAGAACTGATGCTTCACTCTCTTATACGGCTCCTATGTGGCATCATAGTCAAGTAGGTTCTTCCACTTTGTCAGCACTTCCTTAATTCCTTTCTCTCCTTGTCGTACCCCTTTCATTTCCAATGGTTCCAACACCACCTTCAAATCCTCAATCAGTGTCACGGGTAACTCTAAACTGGAGGCATGATTACCAATAGCTCTCCTTAAGAGTGACTCATGAAACAATGGGTGTATAGCAACGGTTGGGGGTAATCTCAATCGGTAAGCCACTGCTCAAATCCTCTCGAATACCTTGTAAGGGCCTACCTTGGAGCCAGCTTCTCATTTCTCCTGTTAGCTACGTCCTTTGTACGTAGGGACAAAGCTTCAAGTATACCCTATCCCTTATCTCAAACTGAATGTCTTTCCTGCACCCATCTGTCTACTTCTTCATGGTCTGTTGAACCCTCAATAAGTGCCTTTTCAACTCATTCAACATCCTATCCCTCTCCTCTAAGTATTTCTCTACTGAAGAAACTGGTGTGCTACTGCACCCAAAGTACACCAAATGAGGTGGGTCTCTTCCTTACAACACTTTGAAAGGAGTCATCTGAGAAGCTGAATGATATGAAGTGTTGTACAAGTACTATATCCATACTAGCCACTCGGCCCATAACTGAGATGCTTTTGAAGCAAAACATCTCAGGTTCGTCTAAAGGCCCCAATTTACCACCTCTATCTACCCATTTGTCTGAGGGTGATAAGCGGTGCTCCTCTTCAGCACTATCCCCTGCATCCTGAACAGCTCCCTCCAAAAAGGACTGAGAAACATGTTATCTCGATCGGACACTATAGACTCTAGTATCCCATGCAATTTGACCAACTCCTTGATAAATATTGTTGTCATTATCACGGCCATGTAAGGATGTCGTAGGGGAATGAAATGAGCATACATTCTCAATATGTCAACCACCACCAGAATCATTGTAAACCCCTCAGATCAGGGTAAACCATCTATAAAATTCATGGTGACCTCCTTACACACTCTGTTTGGAAAGCTAGGGGTTGTAGTAATCCTCTTGAAACCATGGCCATGCATTTGTTCATCTGGAATACCTCACATCTAGCCAATATCCCCTCCACATCCTTATGCATCCCCTTCCCATAAAACTCTGCCACCAATCTCCTGTATATCTTTTGCACACCAAAATGACCCCCAACAGTGCTCCAGAGGAAATCCTGCAGTAGGTGTGGAATATAAATCGAGATCTGTGACAACACAAACCTCCACTGATACAACAATCTCTCACCCTCTATGGCATAGCCAGAGTGGCTACTCTCATCCTTCAGTAGATCCACCATAGTCCTCCTCAGCTCCTCGGCTTGCGTACTCTCCTCTTTAATAGCCCCCAAATCCAACTTCAGTGGTTTTGAAATGGCTAACTCCTAGAGCTCCCCCATGCATCTAGACAAGGCATCAACCGCCTTGTTCTCTAGCCTTGATCTATATTGGATCTCAAAATCATAGCTCAACAGCTTTGACATCCACCTCTAATGCTCCTCGGTCAACATCCTTTGCTCTAACATGTACTTCAAGCTATTCTGGTTTGTCCTGACGATGAAATGTCAGCCCAACAAGTAAGGCAACCACTTATGAATAACTAATACAATGACCATCAACTCCTTCGACTGACTTTAGCCTAGCTGTGGTTATCAACACCTGGCTGAAGTAAGCTATGAGTCTGTGATTCTGCATGAGCATTGCCCCCAATCCATACCTTGATGCATCAATCTCTACCGCGAAACTCTAGCTAAAATTTGGTAGGGCCAAAACCAGTACCATGGTCACGACCTTCTTTTATCTCTCAAAGGCCTAGATAGTTGTCTCTCCCCAAAATAAGTTATCATTCTTCAGTTGTTATGTTAGTGGCCAGGCTATGGTATTATTTCCCCTCACAAATCTCCTGTAGTATCCAGTCAACTCTAGAAACCCCTTAGCTCCCTCAGATTCCTAAGTAGAGGTCATTTCAACATTGCCTCAATTTTGGCCTAATCAACAATCACCCCCTCCTGAGATACCACATATCCCAAGTACTCCACATTTGCTTGTGCAAAACAACACTTCTTCAAGTTGGCCTTCGGCTGATGCTACTGTAACACCTATAATACCACCCTTAAGTGCTCCGAATGCTTCTCACTCAACCTACTATAAATCAAGATGTCATCAAAGAAAACTAGTAAAAATTTCTTGAGGTATGGTTGAAACACCCTGTTCATGAGGGATTGGAATATAGTAGGGGCATTGGTGAGGCGAAACGACATCACCAAAACTAATAGTGTCCCTCATGTGCCCTGAATGTCGTCTTCAAAAAATCCTCCTCTTTCATCCTGATCGGATGGCATCCTAACTTCATATCCATCTTCGTGAACACCACTGCTCCTCAAAGCTCATTCCGCAACTCATCTATCACCGGATGGAAAATTTGACTGGCACAGTTTCCTTGTTTAGGGCCCATAATCTACTCAAAATCTCCAACTTTCATCCTTCTTCTTGACCAGTAAAACTGGGCTAGAAAAAAGACTCAAGCTTAACTTGATTATTCCTGCCTCCAACATCTCCCGGATCAGATTCTTAATCTCATTCTTCTAGATCTGAGGGTAGTGGTAAGGCTTGACGCTTATTGGTGACACCCCCTCCCTCAAGATGATAGAGTGGCTCCTACTCCCTCTATGGTGGAAATCCCTATGGTGGCTAAAAAACCTCGTTGAACTGCTGGATAAGCGATTGTACTGAAGAACGGATGTATCCCCCTTCCTCTAATCTACTCCCATCTAAGCTCTGCAACTCTACTAAAAATCCTCCTCTCACCTCCTGAAGGGTCCTCACCATAATTTTGAGAGACACCATGGCTTTGGATAACCATGTATGTCCCTTAATCACCACCCTTCTTCCCTCCACCACAGCTCCATCGTCATTGCTCCCCAATTAACCTTAATATCCCTAAGGTCTATATTCATTTCAACCCCAAGATGACATCAGTATTCCCTACCTCCAATGGAAGGAAGTCCTCCCTCACCTGAACCCCCTATATGGTAAGAACCACTCCCATACACACTCCTCTATCCACCTCCACCTTCCCAGTACCCATCATCACTCCATAGCACCCTATGTCCACCAGTTTCACCCCAAATTAGCCTACGACCTGGTTGGAGATGAAATTGTGGATAGCCCCACTGCCTATTAACACCACTACCTCTTTATCTGCTATTTCTCCTTTCACTTTCATGGTGTGATTTAAAGTGAATCCCACCACTGAGTTTAAGGAGACATTCGCCATGTCTAGATGCAACTCTTCCTCCTCTATTAATGCCTCACTCCCACCTCCCTAAGCTTCCTTGTCATCACAGACGGTGGGAAACTAAAGAGTTCGGTCCTTACACATGTGCCTATGTGTATACCTCTCATTGCATCCGAAGCACAATCCTTTCACCCTCTTCTCCCGCAGCTCCTTCTCAGTGAGGTTCTTGAAGTTTCCCCTGATTCCCCCTCCTACAGGCTTCTCCTTTGGGGTCTCTCGAAGGCTACCAGGTGTTGGACGCTTGGGTGCTAAAAAGGTGGTGATCATCATGTACGAGCGTCCTGAACTGCTGCCTCTGACCCTCCTTTCCAGGTGCTTAATCCTCCACTAACTAGGCTAGCTACATAGTCTCTCTCTAATCATGAGGCCTCATTAACTTAACTACCACCCGAATATCTGATTTTAGTTCTTTCATAAAAATTCCCTCTAGCACAATCTCAGAGAGCTGGTCTAGTCGACTAGTTAGGTACTCAAATCTCTCATGATACACCACCACTGATCATTCCTACATTAGAGTGAAGAACAACTCATAGAAGTCCCCTCCCCTGCTGATTTAGAAATATTCCAACAAGCAATCCTTGAACTCCATCCAGCTCTGTGTGGGCCATCTCATGTCGCTCCACTGGTATCATGTCAATGTCTTTCCCTCTAAACATAGGTCAATTGTCATCAGCATCTCTTCATTCGTCAACCCATTGATGACGAAATATATTTCCACCTTATAGATCTACTCATGTGCATCCTCTCCCTCAAAAATAGGCATTTTCAACTTTCTTATCCTAGGATCTCCTCTGTTCCCCCTTATTCCTCCATAATTTTTAATTCCCCAAGTGGGTGGTACCCCCCAAGTATCTCAATCATCCCTTTCATGCTCATACCCAAACCCATCTTCAAATTCCCCTCTCCTCTCAAAATCAACACCTCTATGATCATGATCAATCACTCTCCTTTCAAAATTAGCACCCTTTCGCTCATACCCAACATACTTACACCTCTTCCCATACCTTCTACCTATGTCCTCCCTATGAATAGGGTCTAGAGGTTTTCTTTCTTCTCCCTCTAAGATTTCCACATGTAATCATCCCTCTGGCTATCAGAATTTGTATTTCCTCCTACAGGCACTCTTTCCTCTAATGCCACCATTTGGTTGTGAAGATCCAATACTTTCTTCGCCATCTCTTCTAGGTTGGAGAACTTAGCTTCCATGGAGGACCATTGTTTTGATTTGACTCATCTCTCCTAAAAGTCGTTCATCCAATGCAACAGACTACTTGGCCGCCATAGGTACCCGGATCTTGGCCAAACAACAAAAAAATAGTCATTCTGGTCTTCAAACAGCAAAAATATGCAAGTGGAAAACTCCGCATAAATCAGCAAGGAAAAGCCTCAATTTCAGCCCAGGACACTGCTCTTATATCAATTTGATAGGAAGTACTCATAGAAATCGAACAATCTTTGATTGAAATTTTAATTTCAGCACTCCCAAACTCATAGTGGGATACTTGGGGGGTAGAGGGAATAATGGAACAATGGAGAAAAATGATTCATGTAGCCGACCCCACATAGTGAGATAAAGGCTTGTTGTTGTTATTGTTGTACTCTCAAACTCAATCCACAAAAAGAAATAATAGGATAAACTAGAGAAAAACGCTTTTAATTGATGATAGATGGAAGAAAACAACAAGATACAATGAATCCTCAATTAGAGAGGAAGATCCGGCTGTCCCGATTCTCTAGCCACAGGCCAGAGCCCAAAACACTTTAAGAACACTACAATTTCAGCAAACAAAGCATATCACTAACCCTAGTGAAACAATAATTAAAGCATACAATAAAGATGTAAATCCCAAAACAGCCCCTCCTTTAAATTTTCCCTCCTAAACAAGTCTACTAGACCCCATAGGAGAGGAGAGCGGGAGTTGCTGGGTGGAACAGACATCTGTTCCGCCTCTTATACACCAAAGCTGGTTCAGGATGGATCGCCTGGACAGATCTAACATATTCTGAGGACAAATATAACTTCTTTTTGTTTTGATCAAACTCTTTAAACTTCTATTTAAAGGCCATGATCAAATATAATTGTAAGTTGAACGATTAAATGAAATTCATGTGACTGTAGTTGTAGAAAAATTTATTTCTGAGCCTCGTAAATCTTTATCCTATATGATCATATTACGATCACTCTTTTATTCTTCAGTTATTGTTCTTGATATGAATTTTCATTTCATGGTTGTTCTTTAGATTGGAAATTGCTGACATCAAGAAAGCTCGTGGAAAGGCTAAGGTTGCAGGAACAATAATCTCCTTGGCTGGTGTCACAATTATAACATTTTATAAAGGAACAACAATAAGGAATCTTTGGGGTGCATTGATTCACATCCAAGGAAGGACAATCCATGAAAATCAGTTGATAGGATCAATTCTCGCAGTTGCGAGCTGTGTAACATGGTCAATGTGGTATATAATGCAGGTACTCTACGCATGTCTCAATACATCAATGAGAATTTTGATCAACAACAAAAACTAAATAGTTGGGGTAGTTAATTGTTTTATTTCAACAGAGGACATCGAGTTTCCTACAAGCCACAGCCAATTGTTGTTTTTGTTTGTTTTCTGGGTTTTTTTTAGTAGTTTATTTAACAGATCATACTATAAGTTATGGTTGATTCTCTCCTGTTTAACTTTTGAAATTTTAATTTAAATCGCCATTTTGCACATGTAGCTTTTCTACAACTTGACGTGTATGATTTAAGGACAAGCTCATAGAAAACATGACATTTTTATTTCATGCAATACATTCTGTAATAGTGGGATAAATGCTTGATATTGTTGTTGTTGTACAATACATGCTGTAACACAACAGAACAAAGTAAGCCTAAAATAAGTATATTGATATCTATAATTTCCATAAAATAATATATTATTTAGATGCACTGCCATATGGCATGCTGTGGCAGGAATGTACTAACGACGTTAGTAAAAAGAAAATTAAATGTCTACATGGGATATCAAAGTCATGCAATTGCAAGCTTGCCAAAAAAATTAGAGCAAGTCAATTTCGAATGAGAAAGAATTAATTACAGCGTGTGCAATGAAATTTTATCATGAGAAATTTGGTCTTGAGGTAGTAAACTACATCAAAACTTACATCTTAATAGTAGTTAATATATTCGCAACAGGCCGTTACACTAAAGAAATATCCAGCACAACTTTCACTTACCGCATGGATGTGCTTAATTGGAGGAGCACAATCAGCAGTTTTTGCTGTATTAATGGAGCATAAATCAGAAGCTTGGCACATTGGATTTAACATTGACCTGTGGAATATCATATACTCTGTAAGTAATCAATTCATTAGAATTGTCATGATAGTAAATTCCAACTGTAAAAACTGGGTTTTTTGCAGGGAGCCATTTGTTCTGGCCTACTAATCTTCATTCAGTTATGGTGCACTGAAGAAAAGGGACCAGTTTTTGTAGCAATGTTCAATCCCCTCGCATCAATCATGGTGGCACTACTAGCATACTTTGTGTTTGGTGAAAGGATGTACACTGGGAGGTAATTTATCTTAAATTTTGCAAATCAAACATGAGGAAAAAAATTTTAAAAAATGACACAATACACTTCTTTTTAAAAGTATTTCCATCGAATTGAAGGACCCCCTTCTATTCTATAAGAGAACAATTAAAACAACTACTTGCATGGTAGCTGCAGAAACATCGAGAAGAAAATCAAACAGAGAACAAAGGCAAAATGTATATGCATTTCTGAATATCCTTTCTTATACAGCCCAATTATCCATATACTATTCTACTTTAGCCAGAAACTATCATGAAGTAGACCAAACGGCCAAAAGCTAAAAGTTGTACTGAATATAGGGGTATAAGTGAGCCGAGCCGGTTCGATCTAACTCATTAACAAGCTTGTGAGTCAAGCTTATCAAGCCATGAGATCGAGCTCAAGCCTATACTCAAACTCGTATATTAAAAGAGCTCAAGCCTAACTCGGCTCGAAAACTAGTTGAGCCGCTCGATTAAATTAGCATGTATTTAATAATTAATTTAAATTAACATTATATAATATATTTTAATAATTTTAAATTAATTCTATATAAAAAAATAAATTTTTTTAATTTAAAACTAAGAAATCAAGTCGAGCTTAAGCTTTCTAAATGAGCTCTAGTAATCGAGTCGAGCTTGAGCCTATGAATTTTTTATCAAGTCATGCTCGAGCTCAAGCTTAGTAATAGCTAACAAGCTTAACTCGATTAGGTAGATACTCGACTAGACTCGACTTGTTTACACCCCTAATTGAATACATAAAAACAATAATAAAGTTGAAAATATATTGGTGGAGGAAAACAAAAAATGTTGTGATGTGCCGTAGGTGTAGGATAGTCTGCATCATTTCTCCCCCGCTCCATGCACCCGAGGAAATGAGCTATGTATTGCCAGCATCTAATGGATGATAAGCATAGATGTGGAATATTAAGGGTGGACGAGGTAAGCATACCCCACAAGAGATCAACAATGTAGGCATTATCGTTGATGCGTTTCACAATAGGAATATGACCCATTTTACATAGGCTCAATTTAGAATGCATGCCTTGCTGAAATCTTTCCTTCCAAAGTCATACCATAGCAAGGTCGCCCGGATGGAAAACTTTGCGATGTCGATGAACAACAGCTATCTGCTTGTATTGGGCATTTGATGTAGCTAATTTAGCATCGACCTCTTCCAATATTGCGGTGAACTATTCAGCGGTATCAACAGTGAATTTATTTTAGCATTTAGGAAGAACAACAATTTTGACTAAGTGGTTTAGAACCTTTATATATATATGATGCTGAAAGGACATTTGCCAATAGATCTATTAGACAGAGTTTTAAACAAATTCAACTTGACAAAGAAATTCATCACATTATTTAGGATGGTCTTGAGTAAGGTACCTTGATAATTGATATATTATCGAGTGTGTGAATGACAACATCAGTTTGGCCATCTAATTGAGGATGATATGTGGAACTTAATTTAATTTCATGCCTTAAGTGTTTACATAATTCTCTCTAAAAATGACTCACAAATTTAAAATCGCAATCCGATGTGATGTCGTTGGGAATGCCATGAAGAAGTATAACCTTTTTAAAGAAAATAAGAATGACATTTAATGCATCAAATGAATTTCTACAGGCTATAAAGTGAGTATTTTCAAAAATCTGTCAACCACCACTATAATAGAATAGCCCTTTCTTCATTATAGGCAATTCCATTATAAAATACATGATTAAATCCTCACAAATCAAATGTGGGATAGGTAATGGCATGTTATGTATGGAGTTTGATTGTGTTGATTAATCTAGTTATTCTATTGTCTCGGACCTCAAAGCTTGTTGTGTATACTAGAGGGTGCAAGAGGTTTGCCCCCTGCTTGGGTTCGGGTGCTTTGCATCTGAAATTTTTTTCCCGTACACCGCCCTGGCGCTATGTACCCGAGCACCCCAGTGCTGAATAACAGAGAGCAAAGCGCCAGTGGCCTAGACATGGCGCCGCAGCGGTGCAAGACAAAGGATTTAGTGTTGCAGCGCCACAAACTAGCACCACAGCACTGCGAGACAGACTGAATGGTTTATTTCTCTTTTTTATGAAGGGTTGTGTCCCTTGAAGTTATTTACTTGGCTTTCTCTTTATATTTTTTATTAGGGCAAGTATAAGAATGATGCATGTGAGAAGAGAAGCAAGGAGAGAGTGAGAGAGAATGTAGATCTATACTTATTTCTCCCAATTTCACCATTGATGCCAATTGCCGAGCTTTGATACCAATCAGGCGTATATGTATTTTCTATATATCCTTTCTAATACAGCCCAATTACGTCTATACTATTCTATTTTAGCTTGAAACTATTCTACTATAAACCAAACAGAAAAAAATGATAAAAGCACTGACTACATAAAAATAGTAATAAAGTTGAAAACATAGTGGAGGAAAACAAAAAATGTTGTGGTTTGTCAAAGGTGTAGCATAGTCCACATCAACTAATAAATAGTTTTTATTTTGCATGACAAAATATTCTTGTTCTATGAAATAGGAACAATTGCCTTGCTACCCAGAAAAAGTTTCATACAAAAAAAAGGGGAAAGTCCAGTGTACGCAGCTCTAGATACTGCAAGATTTCGGAAGAGATTGATGTATTAAACTTTACGTTCCTTTTCTGAGAGATTGTCTTGTGACTTGACTCAATGAACTCGATATCACAATATAAGCAATTAGACCATTAGTTCAAATCACAACGGAGGAAGAAGTGTTTATCTCTATAAATTCTGAGCCAATTTGTCCCAAAAAATCACATGAACATTTCATATTTCTTTGTGAACTTCTTATCTTTGTTTTCTGTGTTGTTGTAGCATATTGGGAGGATCGATTGTTATAATTGGCCTATACTTGTTGCTGTGGGGCAAAGAAAATGATCAAGGAACTTCATGAACATAGCAAGACCATTCCAATTTATCTTCTGGGAAGCAGCACGATGAGTTGGGTGAAATTGAAAATTATGGAGAGTTCCTCAAAGGATCCAATGAACAAAAGATCCTTTCCCAAGACACAAAAAAATTATATCTGGGTATCTTTATTATTTTTGTGTCAATATGGGAAGACGAACACAAAAAATTAGATAATATTTAAATTTAGACTAAAAACAACACTAGAGACAAGTTTTTGATCATCTATCTGTTTTTATTTCCGTTTAAATGTTTTGTATTTTGAGCATTTGCCTTTTAATTTTGATCGTCTTTCTTTCCCTCCTAAAATGAGAAACATATCTATAATATCCTGATAGATCTTTTCCCTTTCCAAAATGCTTCATTTGTTTAAGAATTTTATATACTACATATGCTTATGAGGTCCTGGCAAGTAAATCTGTATTAATCCTTATTTCAATTCTATACTTGAGCTCATTTTGCTGCTTGTAAATGGAAAAGATGTTCTCTAAAATGATGAATTTGTTTTCAACTATTTGACATGGTGAAAAAAAATCTTTTAGTTTGAGAAGTTGTGAAATGTAAAACCCAAATTAAAGAATCTGGCAAATTTCACCACTTCATAAAATTTAAATATAAACTTCAACGGCCCTTAGTACAATTAGCTTAACTATTCATACATTTGTGATATTTTTGTGAGTTGCATGTAAAATTTTTTAGTCAACAAGATAAGAAGACAAGCTAATAGCACACACACAACACATAAACTTTAAACATAAAATCTTTTGATTAATAGTCAAAGTTCCCAACCAACAGATCAAGATCAGCTATATATATATATATATAAAGAAAAATAATAGGAGAACAGTAAATGATCAATAATTCATTCAATAATCAAGTCCCAGCTTCCATAATATAATACCAGAACCTTTTAATAAACTCAAGGCTCCAAATACTACTCTAAACTACTCAAGACATGTAAGGAAGGATTTAAGCGCACTCCTTGTGTACAATAAACTATTTGAAACATAATTAAAAGTATTTATATTAAAGGGATGCATTTTTATAAGCTAATATGAAAAGAAATCAAACAACCATGTTTGTCTTGCATCATACACCTGGCCCAAAAAAACTCTTTTCTGAAGAGTTAGAACTTGGAAGGTGTCCATGGTGGTGAAGCAGGTGGAATTTGATAGTGCTCAACTTTCTAATCAGTAGGGTGCATGTGGTTTAAGGAAGGTTTCTGGCGGTCGGGTTTTGATCACAGTCATGAGAAAGCATTCAGTCTATGATGAAAGTAATCAACAAGATCTATGTTGTGGTAGATGGATGCCATGGTAATATAAACACAATAACAAGTTGAGTAGGGAGGTGAACTAGATAACGAGAACAAGTGCAAGCAATTGGACACAGTACATGATATGGAATGAAGGATATACTCTTGGGACTACTCGCATTTGATGAAAAGAGAAAGTATAAACCCAATATCAATGACTTTTGTAGAAGATGGAAGCCTTATGAACAATTAGCGGTCTTCCTTTGGCAATGGCTAAAGTAACCTAGAACAACAACGATCTCTGTAAACTTAGATTCACCTGCAGGCACAATTGAAAGATTCGATCTCACACTAGCACAATCAGATAAATTTTAGATTAATCCTGAACATCTTCATCATCTATCGCTAGTTTGCTTTTTTACTATAAATGGTCAAAAATCTTCCTTTGTGATTTTAGAATGTAATTGATGTGTTTATTTAAGATCCTTAAATGTTTTTCATACTATCTTGACTGAGATTTAGGTTCTTGCATGCCATGTTAAAGTGAATGATAGCAATAATCCAGAAATTAAACGAGCTTAGTACTTATTGATATATTGATATTAGCCATTATTAAAAGAATAAGAGTACAATCAAAGAGTTTGGGGTGAATATTGTTGATTTGGAAATCTTTCCAAATCTAAATAAGCTTAATTTTGGAAAAATTTTGATGGCTAATTGATATATTAATTAGGGAGGCTGATTATTGTATTAACTAGGAATTTGATTGAAGATTTGATTGATGCATAGATTAGAAAGTTTTTCTTTATTTATTTTGTCTCAAATCTATTTAAAGGGATTTGAGGGCTGTTGTAGAGGCATGAGAGGAAGAGAGGGAAATTGTAATCCCTATTCTTCTCCAATATAATGAAATCATCATTCCCTCCGCATGGATGTAAGCATCTTCATCAAACCACGTAAATCGTCGTGTTCTTTGTGTTGATTGTGCTTTGATTCTAGTTTTGTTTCCACTGTGTTTGCACAACAATTGGAATTAGAGGAAAATTTCGGTGGGATTTTCTGTGGCGGCTTGAAGAATAGTAGATCAATAAGTTATTTCTGTTCATGTGGTTCGTCTAGGCAAAGGAAGATAGACGGATTGGTGCAATTCTAGCGTTGTGAGACGGCTATAATTTGGTGGAGGCTATGAGATCCGATGGAGCAATGGAAACATCCACCTCGATGGTGGAAAAGGCGTCGATCCATTAGGTGATTACACATCTCGTCAAAATCGATGTGACAAAATTTAATGGCAAAAAAAACTTTAATATATGGAGATGTGAGGTGATGGATGTGCTGTGCACTTTGAATATGGAGAAAGTTCTGAATAGCTATGAACATCCTGAAGAGATTTCAGAGAGAGATAGGCTGAAGATGAACCGGGGTGCCTATGGCCTGATCAGAAATTGCTTATCTCAAGAGATCAAGTATGGAGTGATGATGGAGACTTTTGTTATGAAGTTGTGGAAGATTTTAGAGAATAAGTACATGACGAAGAGCGTGGAGAATCGTCTCCATATGAAATGCAAGCTTTACAGAAATATGAGGATACAATTAATGAGCGTCTGAATGACTTCACAAAACTGTTGGTAGATGTTTTGAATATGGATGAGGATGTTGGAAATGAAGACAAGGCACTTCTTCTATTGAATTCGCTCCGAGTTAGTACAAGAACTTTACGATGACGCTCATTCATTGGAAGGATGTCTTAAACTATGGTGAGCTGACTACAACATTACTGAACAGAACAAGGAATTTGCAAAGATAGATTTGGCTGGATCTTACCTGTCAGGTTTCTAAGTTAACTCGACTAGACACGAAACGATTTTGATTTGGCTGAAGAAGCGCTCAAAAGGGAGAAAATGATTACCTTCGCAACAAGCAAGCTCCCTTAATCCCTCGTCCCTCCCATCATCGTCGTTACTTTCGATCCAAAAAAGGCAAGCTGTAGTGACTCCGACCCGACATAAAGGAACATCGTCAAAGGAGGTGAAGAAATCGTTTATCGACTCGTACAAAAGAACGTCAGTAGCGAGCTGTTGTGACTTTCGACCCGACATGAATGAAAGACATCAAAGGAAGCGAATAAGTCTTTTATCGACTCGTAAGAACAACGAGCAGCGAGTTGTTGTGACTTCCGATCCAACAAGAAGGAATGTCATCGAAGGAGGTGAACGTCGGCAAACTGTTATCGACTGCAGCACGCAAGAGGCGGAGCAGGGTCTGTCACTGGAAGGCCAAACGGAAGCGCGGTTAGAGCTCGATTATATGCCTAAATTAAGCGGGTCTGTAGGTAGAAGCTAAGCCGAGCAGAATTCGAGTTGGGTCAAAACCAGGTCCAAATCAGGTTTTCGGATTGACCCGAACTTGACCCAGAATTCGAAACAGGTCGAAAATCAGTACCCAAGTTTGACCTGTTCTTAAATCGAGTTGACCCTAACCCGAAAATTTTTCGTCGGATTTGATTCGGATTTTCATGTCGTGTAAATTTTTGACACCCCTAATCCTGCTAGAGAGCACTTAAAAGTGTTTTGGTGTCCAGCTTACTATCATGTTCAAAATGATAATATAGAATCACGAGCAAATAAGGCAATATTTCTTGGCTTCAAGCGTGGAGTCAAAGGTTTCAAACTCTATGATCTAATAGAGAAGAAGATTGACATTAACAGAGATGATACATTTGACGAAAAGAGCATGCTAAAACCTCAGGACTTTAAGTGGGTGGAGAGTTCTATTGGGACCACAGATGTGCTACAGAAGTTAAAGTTTGATACAACACCATTTGTTCCACAGAGACATCACTTATACCCAGAACAGTTGCAGATCAAGAGGAAGAAGATGATGTTGAGGATGAGGTTCTAGCTCAGGAATCTATTGTGAGGAGCAGGTTCAAGCGTCATAATGTCCCAAAATCAGTTTAGTTGAAGAACCACATTGCATTTACACTTTCAACCATAGAGATTAAAGTTCCTAGTCACTATAAGGAAGTAGTGGATAATCCTAATAGTAATCTTTGGAAGAGGGCTATTGATGAAGAGATGGCGTCTCTTTAGAAGAATGTTACTTGGAGTTTGATGAAGCTTCCTCTAGGAAGGAAAGCCATTTGGTGCAAATAGGTGTGTGCAAAGAAGAAATGATCTCATAAAGATGATATGCGGTACAATACTAGGTGGATGGCAAAAGGCTTTGCGCAACTAGAAAGAGATTGATTGTGATGAGGTGTTCTCCCGAGTGGTCAAGCATCCCTCGATCCGTGTTCTCTTAGCATTTGTAGCACATTATGGTTTGATTTTGGAGCAACTCGATGTAAAAACTGCATTTTTATACTAGAAATTCTAAGAAGAGATCCACATTTTACAATCGCCTAGCTTTGGAATCTCAAAATAATTGGTTTGCAGATTTGATAAGTATTTAGTTGTAGTGAGCAGGTTCAACTACTGTATGATTTTGGTGAACATTCAGACTCATGACTGATTGTCTACTAATTTTAAAGAACTATGCCTGGATTGATCTTTTGGGGGGGGGGGGGGGGGACGGGGGGAAGGGGGGGGGGGGGTGGTACGTAGGGAACCATCTTGGTGCAGTCGTGATATTGAAGTCTAGTTTATCATATTCCATTTTTTAGGTGAAAAATGAGATAGAGATTGTTGATTTGGAAATCTTTTCAAATTTAAATAAGTTTTATTTTGGAAAGCTTTGATGACTAATTAATGTATTAATTAGAGGGGTTTACTATTGCATTAATTACAAATTTTATTGGAGATTTGATTGATGCATAGATTAGAAAGTTTTCCTTATTTGTTTTGTCTCAAATCTATTTAAAGGAATTTGAGGGCTTTTATAGAGGCATGAGAGGAAGAGAGCGAAATTGTAATCCCTATTCTTCTTCAATAATCAATATAGTGAAATCATCATCTCCTCCCCGTGGACATAGACATCTTAGTTAAACCACATAAATCATCGTGTTCTTTGTATTGATTGTGCTTTGATTCTGATTTTGTTTCAGCTGCATTTGCACAGCAAATATCTATATGAATCAGAGGTGTTGTATGAATTCCGATGAGTAGAATGTTTAACCATAATAATCAATAGTCTGGATGAGAATTTAGACCGATTTAACTGATGTATGGAACACTGCTCAGACAAATAAATATAAAAGTTTGTGATTTTTGTAATCATCACTATCGAATTACGAATACTGATAATGGTAAACCCTTATTATATGTTACAAACATCAAAAGCATAATAAAGCCATACAAAAGAACATGAGAGAACCTCATGTGATCGCAAAAAACAGAGCCGCGAATGCGGAACAGATGACATCGAGATTGCAGCCTCGATAGGGGAATCGGTGATCCTGATGGAGAATATAGATACAAATCAACGATTCTGTAGAGAACACAGAGGCGGTGGTCGATGCGATGGTAAAGATCAGCACAAACAGCGTGAATGGCACCACGGAATTGACATGATCGGGCGTCTTAGATATCGGGCACAAATCCTGGGGTTGGGCTGTTTAGCGGCAGGAAGAAGAGTAAAAGGGTTTGCCATGCAGGGACCAAAGACGCGGCTGTGGGAATCGAAGTCGAGTCGTGTTGATGGAAGGCGCAAATCAAGATTGTGAACAGTACATTGTTGAAGACGAGCAGTGGAGAGATCCATCGGGTCCGGCTTCGCGGGAGATTCAGCATGCGGGGAGGATCAACCGCTGGCAGACTATTGCAGGGCCGCGTGAGGGGGTGCGTAATTAAGTATTTGCGAGCTAAGTTTGTTTAGCATTTACTGAATTAGAGATCGTATATTAAGCTCTAGTTTGACTCATTTAAAATTTTGTAGACATTTAAAATTTAATAGACTCGAATTCGACTCTATTGCTCTCGAGTTCATTTATAAAGTCTAAGATTTTGAGCTCATTTTCTTAATTTTAAATTTAAAAATTATTTTTTTTAATATAGAATTAATTTAATAATATTAAAATATATTATATAATATTACTTTAAATAAATTATTAAATATAGTTTAATTTAATCAAGTGGATCAATGAGTTTTCAAGTTGAATCAGAGCTCAAGCTTGAGCTCGTTTAATATACAAGCTTCAGTATAAACTTGAGCTCGAACTCGTGGCTCGATAAACTAGACTTATGAGCTTATTAATGAGTCGAGCTCGAGTTGGCTTGCGAGTCAGATCCACTCACTTACACCCGTGAATTACTATGGTCTCAAAGAGTGTTGCAAACCGATGTGAGCCAGCATAAGAGATACTTGGAATGCAACGGAGAAGTGAGGAAAAAGAAAAATGGAGAAAAAATCTTTTATTTAAAAAAATAAAAACAAATTATTTCATTCAAAAATACTTTCTTAAATTACTTTGAAACATGACAAATTACTTCTCTCCATAGTTGTAAAGATTGATTGGTCTCTGCACCAACTAGATGCCAATGATAATTTTCTAAAGGAAAGCTTGAATTACAATGTCTGCATGGAACATCTTTTGGGATTTATGAGGACTAAAAGTAACGAAAAATTATCCAAATTAAAAAATAATAATGATTGTTGCCTCAAACATGGATCAAATACCAAGATTATGCGTAGCCAACAATATTAATTATATATGTTAGCAATATCATCCTAAATGACGACCATGATTTAAATATAAGTTGCTTGAAGGCAAAGCTTGCTAAGCAATTTGAAATCAAAGAACTCAATCATCACGGGTATTTTTCTTTGTATAAAAATTGTTAGAAATAGATATGATTGTTGCGTCCTGGAATATTTGCGGAGGCAAAGAAATATAAAGTTTAACGTCTTAGCTTTATATGAAGATCCATCATGCAATCAGATAAGAGAGATGGTGCAGTATTTATTAGAGACACAAATACTTTACATGGAAAACCACTGAAAAGAAGGAAAAACAACAAGGCATGGTCCAATTTGAATGAATTTACTATTATTTGTAATCGATTACAAATGATGCCCTTCCTTGGGGGGAAGGCCTTGAGTTAATGTACATCATATGGAGTACATTACATGATGTGAATATAAAAAACCATATATTGGTTCTTTGTACTCGCATGCCTCAACTTCTTCATTAGTTTTTAATTGTGGAACTTCTCGCCTCAAAGGACACAACAATGATATTATCGTATCTCAAAGAAATTATGTTCTAGATCTCTTGTGAAGAGCAACTTAATGCTAATATATAGATCCTAAACTGCTTAAAGAGAAGCTCATAAAGGGGCTATTCTTTAGAAAGGGGGAATTTCCACAAGTTGAAGCTTTTACTAATGTTGATTGGGTTGATCAATATGATAAATAGAAGGTTTACATTGATTATTATTCTGATGTATGAAGTAACCATGTGGCATGGTGAAATAAGAAGTAAAATTTAATTGCTTAAATTAGTGCATAAGCTGAACTCCGATCTTACGCAAATGGGATTAGTAAATTGGTTTGCTTAAGTGGAACTTTTATTTGGTCCGGTCATCTAACGTAGCTCTACGTTCGGAGGCCAATAAATTAGTGCCACATGTTCTCAATATTTTCCGCACGGCCCGACAACCCGACCCAGAACGGAGCCGGGATTGCTATGTTTGTATATTGCTAGGTATTACTCGGTATTGGTCGATTTTGCTTAACAATAATGAGAAATACCATTCTGTGAAGACCAATACCGAACAATACCGAGAAATACCGACTCGGTATTTTTCTGTATTGCTCGGTATTGGTCTTGACAGAGCGGTATTTCTCGTTATTGCCAAGCAATACCGAGTAATACCGAGCAATACCGAGCAATACCTAGAGCAATACCGAGCAATACGCGAACATAGAAATCCCGGGTCAGGTCGTCGGGCCGCACGGTAAATAGTAAGAGCACGTGGCGATATATTATTGATGTTCGAACGTAGAGCTACGTCAGGTCACCTGACCTAATAATTATTCGCTTAAGTGACTTAAAAAAAAAACTATAGGTTATCATCAATATTCCTACAAAAATGCACGGTGACAAATATATTGTCATCAATATATCTCATAATACGTCCATCATAATCAAATAAACTATGTGAAGGTGGATCAATATTTCATCAAAATACTAATAATAATAATTGTATCCATCGCAAGTCTTCTTCTAAATAAACTACGCGTATCTTGACTAATGGCTTGACTAGACCTCTATTTTCTTTAAAAAAAAAAAATTTGACAAGTTTGGATTGTTTGATAACTTGATGTGTAATGTTCAAAAACTAGATGACAAATAGCCCTAATTGACCGGGCTTTTCATGAATACCAAATTGGAATGTTGACCGGTGATTTTTACAATTATTGCTCCATCCTGCTGATCTTTCCTGTCTAATGACATCTGATGGAAGGGATCGATCCATCTAATTCTAATTGCAGTAAATAGAAAGAAGAATAATTGCATATAAAAGGTACAGCGATACCTATATTTAATATGTCCACATGCATCGGTCTAATCTTATTATATAGAAGAAATGAGATATAGATAACCGTAACATTTGCAATTATAGATACGTTGTTAAAATATTAAAAAAAAAAATTGGAGTGATATAAGATAAGAAATTTTATAAAAATACAATTAATTTCATCCAACAATAGCTTAGAGAATTAATGGAAATATATCAAGATTGTTTAAAGGGCTCTTTAATTGGAGGAAAAAGAAATGCACTGTAAAAAAAATGTAATGTTTTTTTTTAATAATACTTTTTGATGTTTAGTTGGCTAAAATGCAAAGTAAAGTAAAACCCCGAACTCCCTGCGGCAGTTCAAATTCTGCGTAAACTAAAACTACTCGTTTTGAGCAAAAAGGAAATCAACGGGCATGGGAGAGAAAGAATCTTGCGGGAAGGCGCGGAAGAGCTCACTTCGATTTCTTTGTTGTTCGGATTACGCTTCCTCTGCTTCGATGGCATTCCCTTCCTCTTGGGTCGGCAGCACAACATTCGAAACCCTACTTGGATGATGTTCCCTTCCTCTCGGATAGGAAGGCACAGTTGCCAACTTTGATGACGTTCCCTTCCTCTGCTTAGACGGCGTTCCCTTCCTCTTGGATCAGAAGGCACGAAGAGCTCGCTCGCTCACACAAAGAACTCACTCGATTGTCAATTTGCTCGCATCTTCAGTCAAATCCCATAATTCCTCGCTTTTTTTGGCCAAATCCCGTAAATCTTCGTGTCCTCTATACGCTTCTTTGGCAAACTCCCATAATGATGCCCTGGTTTTAGAGAACAAGCTCATAATACATTGATATTACTTTACTTTGTATACACCCAATAAAAAAAAAAACTTACGAGTTTATTTTGATTACTATTTGACTACGATTTCCAAATGACAACCACAGTTCTATTCGACTACTATTTTCTTGCTGCTTTAATTTTAAAAAATTTCAGTACTAGTAAGCTGATTTTTACAGCAGCTTTTAAAAAACACTTTCCCCACAACAATTATATCATCACACTTACAAAAAATAGCAGCCGTCCCAAATAGACTCTACCAGTCTATTTGTGTATGGCTCCATCTTTTGGTAAAGATGGTTGTAAGGTTGCTATGGAGAAAATAATTTTTTTGAAAGTTCTTGCAAAAAACAACTTCCTAACACAGAAATTTCCTGTAAACAACAAAAAAATGTTAGACGAACAAATCTATAATTAAAGTCTGGAAAGCACAACAATAAGAAAGTTATCCCATACAGTCCCTAAATCCAATATTTTTATCTCGTATTAATAAATATTTTTTACATATAAGAGATCTCTCATTATGGATCATCACTTTTCTTATGTTAGTAATCTAACTTAGAATGTTTATATGATCAACTTTACTTTCACTTCCAATTCTTAAGCACGTAATTGAACGGCTAGCCATTACTTGTTCAAATTCAATATAGCATAATTCCAATATTTTCAAAGCATTAACACGAACAACCCATAACAGTAAATAAATGTGAGACTGGTCTACCTTGCAAAAGGTTTTTTTTTTTAATACCAGGCAAGGCTTAGGATTAACAAATTATTAGCTTAAATTGTTTTAATCTCCGAATTACAGTACTTTAACTGCTTCATATCCTCTTTAATCATCAAAAAATCAAAGAACCCATATTGCTAGATCCAGTAACTTAGGCTTTGTTTGATACAGACTATTTCTTAAAGCATTTTTTTAATATAATTTTTTTAATTTTTATACTAAAAAGCTGCTTTAATAAATAATAAGAAAATCATCTCAAACGAAGCTCTAATATTTGTACAATCAATATTATGAAATTGTAAGTAAATGAATCGTCAAAAGTTCCAAGTTTTCCAGTCTACCAAAGAATCTCTGGTATTTCTGAGGGTGGACTTGAGCAGAAACTTTGATGGTTTCAGATGACCAAAGCTCACCCCCACTTTTTTTCCCCATCTTTCTACTTTTCTTTCCTTGGCTGTTTCTAAGGTCCCCCCTTCTTATGTAGTTTTCATGACATCGCAATTTCAAGGAAGAACACATGGACTTGTCTCAAGCCTTCCGCTTAAAAGACTAGAAGTTTTGATTGAATTGATAGATATTTATATCACTTGGAAATAAAAGGAACCAATGACAGTAATGGTTTGAAGCTAAGCATTTTTACATTTATTTGTGAAACTTTCAGGGAAAAACATTTGAAGGAGGAATTACATATACAACCCCCAAATCATTTATTCCCATGTTATAATTTTGAACTATGGAATTTATGTATTTGCACCTGTCATGATCAAATCATTGAGAATTTGACAACGAGAATTTTGATATTTGAGTGCTGATTTTAAAAATAGAGGCAGGAGGATGATAATTTTGCAAATAATTTCCTCAAATTTGAATCAAGATCTCCTCATACTAATTTCTCCCACAGCAAAATGCAAAGACTCTTAGGCTTTGTTTGAGACGCCTTTCTTACTGCTTCTTAAAGTGGTTTTCTAGTACAATAATTTTAATTTTTATAATTTTTGTACTAAAAAGTCACTTTAAGAAACAGTGAGAAAGCCGTCTCTAACCATGCCTTAATATAATAACTAAAAGTAGCAGAAGTTTACAAAATATATATCTAAACTCAAAAAAAACGACACGATTGGGTCGTTATTCTTATTATTATTGAAAATAATGAGTGATATATTATAAAAAATATGTAGTTTAAAGTAGTAACATTGAAATATAATCATCTCCTTTAATCAATGTTATATGAATCCTTTCACATTTTATTATTATTTCACTTTCTTATTTTCAAATGAGAGACAAAGTAACTAAAAATTAATCTGTGCGGACGTCGGATGCCGTTCGGAGACTAATCAGAATGCATCACGTCACCCCTTATACCGCGGCTCGTTAATGCTTAGTACTGCTGACATGGCTGCACCTGATTCGCCTTCCGGACTTCCGCACAGAATAAGTGGCACTCATCCAACCCTCATACAAAAATTACCTGCAGTGATCCTGAAATAATTTTTTATTTCTCGTGAGGGATAAGAGAACCAAAAGACCAATCTAAAACTATTCCGTTTTATTGTCTATCGAAAACCATGTAGATCAAAGTCTTGTTTCATGAAAAAAGAAAGAGTAAATTTGTAGAAGAAACCGCCCACTAATTCAATATGTTTTACAGTAATGATTCTTCTCACATCCAAAATTCACCCTCTAACATTTTACATACAATCTCTAAGAAAAAAAATTAAGTGTAGCAATACACCATTACAGCTTACAATTCATTTTGGATTGGTAGAACAGCATTCTTGGAACTACGAGAATGTCCGAAAGAGAAGAATGATCTTCTAACTCTAGCAGAACTGCCACTACTGCTTTCTTCACCACTACTCGCCATTTGGAAATTTGGGTTCTTCTGTAGTATCTCCTGCACTGCAATGTAGAGTTGCCTGTTATTAGAAGAATCCATAGAGAAAGATCTCCTCATGGGCTGCACTCCAAACTCTCCTTCCTTGCTTCTACTATCAATGCACTCGTCTCCCATACTGGAGACATAAGGTTTCTTTCTCCAATTCCTCAGATCAAGCCTCTCATCGTAGCCATCATCATTACTTATCTGAGCCTCATCATCCCTTACTTCAATAACAATGCTCTCCATTTCAGCTGAATTCTGACTTGGAATTTCATCTATGTTTGAATTGATTGGTAAAGTTTTAGCGGTTGTGATCTCAGACCTGCAAAGTGGGCAGTTCGCATGTGTCTGCAGCCAAGCATCAATGCAATCTATATGGAAGCCATGGAGGCAATTAGGGAGCAATCTGACCCTCTCTTCTTCTTTGAAGTCATTCAAGCAAACAGCACAATCATTGGAAGAGCCCTGCACTTGGTCTCTTCGGTATCGAAATGTTGGGATTGCCTGAATTGTCAATTCATCCAGCCCACGGTCGCCGAGCATGACAGAGTACTGGAGTGTGAAGATGTCTTCACTATGATGGCTTCGGCGGCGGCGGTGAGACTGGTAGATGTGGCTGATGGTGTTGGATTGCTGCCAGTTTAAGCAACACTTGGTCACAAAGGCATAGTAGCTCATGAGGAGAATTGCTGTGGCTAGGATACCTATAATTGAAATTGTGACAATTGGGAAACTGGACTCTAAAGAGCCTGAAGGAGTTAGCGGTGGCGTTGGTGGCGGTGGTGGCGATAGGATTATAATAGGAGGTCGTATTGTATAAGGAAGCATGGAATGTGGTAAAATTCTGAGATTTCAAAGCAGACTTCTTGCGCTTTAAAGGCTAAACTTTTGATTGTTTGGGATTTGGGTTAAAGAAAGTGATGAGAGCTGCAGAAAAATGGAAGATTTTCACATGAAAGAGGAAGATATAGAGAAAGTAATTCAGATTGGAAATGAAAACGTGGATCTATGGGAGGTTATGAAGCTAGAAGGCACTGAAGCCATTGCAAATGGAAGTCATGAAGAAAATTGAGGCAGGAAGCTTGAAAATCGATTTTTACTAGTCAAAATGAATATATTTATATTCTTGCTTCCTAACTACGCCAGTGAGATGTGAGCTGAGTCATTAATTTGTAAATCAAATTTTCATTTTTTTTCACAGCACTGAGGTGACGTGAAATATTATTGTTTCCACTGTGAGTTTCGTCATATTGTGGATGGAATCATTAGTAAAAGATCTAGAAGGGTTCATGCTACATGGAGAAATTGCCATTAAAGAACTGTCTCTTTAGTGAAATGAGGTGAAAAAAGGGTTGCGAGTCTTTTGATGCCCATGGGTAAAGCTAAGAAGATGCCAAGTGACATGATAGTTTGGATCCATTGGAAGACATGAATCTGTGGCTCTGGAGGGAGAGATTATTTCGTGCGGACGTCGAACACAACTCTACATCCGGATACCAACCAAAATGAGTCAGGTAGGCGAAAAATTATTAAAGTGAAATCAATTTTTTTAGGCTCATCTGGAGAAAAATTTTACCAGTCAGTGAGGCTGATGCTACAACTAGGCTAGATACACATGGTTCCTGACCACAGTGCTGCAAATAGCAAAAATTATGGGACTCAACAAGAGTAACTTGTCTGTAACTCCTCTTTTGGACATTAATTAGGCTCTATTTAAGGCACACTGTACACTCCTTGTTGGTTAGATTCATGTGGGTACAAAATACTGTATGCATCAATGCATTATGTCTTGTTGGTTGGTTGGTGGCCCTTAGCAATGTTTGATGGTCCAAATATTATCTAACTAATTGAAAGGCACATGATTATCAATCACACGCCAAATATATATATTTTTTTCTTTTATATGTGCATCATTATATATTTATTGTGACAGCAATTATCCTCATTGAGTGGACGTTGAAAGATGCCATGTGAACTTCCCCCTCTCTTCATCAAAAGACTTCTATGTGTTTATTTTTGGATTGATTAGTTTTGTTGGTCCTAAGCAATCGAATTTGTCAAATTCGCTGGCATTGAGGGATAAAAAATAGTCAGTTTAAGCTAATTATGCTTGAATTAACAAATTCAGCATCAAATTTATAAAATTTTTGAACTATTCATGGTAATTTATAGTTGAAATTACTTATTTTACAAGTACAAGTTATTTTTTACTATTGATTTGCAAAAAGTAAGCATTTGTTATAAGAAGAGGCCCATAAATAATAAATTTAATATGGTACTCGACCAAATTAATTGATACATGTACATATGGACGCCTAAAATGCTTGAAGTCAACGAAATGTACAAATAGCATTCATGAATTCACTTATGACTAGCTTCCTATACATAATGGGATGATTGATTGATTTTTTTTAAAACGTAATAATATGATTTGATCTAAAAAGATTAATATGCAATGATGTTTATGCTTTAAGTAAAAGTATTATCGTACAATGTGGTTCGAACATAGCCTGCTTTTATGTTTGCAAAGGCATCTGATTATATGTAGATTTGTTCAAAAAAAATAATCAATTTTAAGAACATTTATCAATCTAATCATGTGCACCGGAATTCAATTTGATCATCTTAACAAGGCTTACCATTAGCATCAATCTTTGAGATCTAAACCTTAAAATGGTCATACAATCGAAATAATCAATAACAATAAAATCTCAAAGTTTTCAATCCGCATATGACATTGATCTTTGAATCTTAAGCATCAATTTAAACAACCCTTTAATGACTCACAACTCAAAATTTTTCCCCTTATTTCATTAAAGAGACAACCCTTTAATAGTAATGTCTACCATGTAAAATGCATGAACCCTTCTAGGTCTTTCAAAAGGTCGAGTTAAAGGGAACTACTTTTTCATTCACTTATATATAAAAAAAATAAATAAAAGAGCACACAAAATTTATTTGTGCCCATTCAAATGCTTACAAGAGATTAAGTGCTAAGGCTCTTTTTTGTCCATACCTAAATATAAACTTCATTTAAAAGTATGCCACCAAACTCCCAGTCCACAAATTAAAACAAATAGAGCCTTTTATGTCAACTTACTAACTCTAGCATCAAAACCTTCGCCAAAGGTTGCCCACCCCTCAATTGATAATTTTGCTTCTAAACAAGCTTATTATTGTAATTAAGATAATAAATAAATGCCAAAGCTTATTACAAGCATATTTTATGTGAGTATTTGCTATTTTAGTCATTAAAGAATTTCTAAGTATATGTGAATTTTTTTTGATAGAATATCAATAATATGGAGCCTGCATTTGATACGTTTTTCTTAAAATAGTTTTTTAGTACAAAGATTAGAATATTTATACTATAAATTATTTTAAGGAGCAGTAAAAAAGCCGTTTTTTACTTTGACATCTAAAATTTTCTCCAAAAAAAAAGAAAAATAGTATGTTTCATTTGGGAACTTACATATTTATTATTTTTACTTGATTCAATTAGGAAAAAACCTCCAACATAACTGGGACTGCATTACAAGGGGATACAGTGGGAAAGCTCGTTTTCTTGGCTATTATTTATTGGCCATGGATGATCAGCCTGCGACATAAGCACTTGAGCAGCCTTCCAAAGCTTTATGTGCCATCAGTTGTCCCTTTCTTGACAGATGTGAAGAATCCAAAGCCAACAGAGTAGAACTTGTCTTCTTTTGGGCTCGCATTCGCTGGCTTTGTCCGCAAGATGCCCTCAATTCCTTCAGTTTTGGATGCCTCTTTGGTACAGAATACAGATCCAGAGAAAACTCAACTGTTCAAGTATAGATTGGTGCACCCAACGATCCCTCGTCATTAGTCTACGAAGCCAACCCTACCACAAATTAATCAGTTTGCAAATAGCATTAACGTTTTGCATGGGGCACAAATTATCTTTGCTCAGCTTAAGAGAACGTTCTAATAATTGAAAATTGGTGTTTGCAAGGTTAAATATTTTTACTGTTCATGTTTAGGTTTTTTTTTTTTTTTATTCGTAAAAAATTATCCTAAACTAAGGCTTCGTTTGGGACGGCTTTCTTCTTGCTTTCTAAAGCAGCTTTATAGTACAAATTTTTGTTTAATTTAAAATTTTTGTATTAGAAAGACGTTTTAAAAAGTTGTCACAAACGAAGCCTTACGATTTCATTTGATTAATTATAATTTGATCTTAATTAGTCCTACCTAATCATCAATTTAGATAAAAATTGTGATACATGGATAATTGTTTTTATTATGATGAAGTTGAGAGCTATTAGATTTATTTTAAGACGAGTGTAACAAAATTTCACAAAATTATGCTTATTTTTTATTTTATAAATAAATTATTTAATTTTTATAAATAGCAAAAATGAGTTCTAGATGATTTCATATTTTTTAAGAATCATTTTTTTTATTTCTACACCCCAAACCTCAATCACTATCGAGTACTCTGCTCAATAGAACCCTCCAAAGAGGGGAAAATTATTAGGTTCGGTCACCTGATAGAGAGATATATCCGTATTTCTCTTTGTTTATAATAAAAATACAGCCAAAGCGTAGTTACTATAGCAGCTGCGCTTTGACTATGCTTTGACTGCGCTTTTACTATACATAAAGAGAAATTCGGATGTATCTCTTTGTCATGTGATTGGACCTAATAATTTGCCCCAAAGAGGAGGAGCTCCATCTCCTCCATGGAACCCTCCAATGACTTAAAATTTTAATATGAATTAAAATTCCAAAATATTAATTACAGAACTTTATGATATTTTATTTAACTAAGGTTTTTAATTAGCCTATTCAAGTCTATTTATCTTACATAGTTATATTTGATCTAATAATGAACTAATTAACGTAACTACAGTTACTAATTAAGCCCTAATTTGGCATCTTAATTATCAAATATTAAGTGTTTAGGGAAATTAATGCATCAATAAAATAGAATCTACTTGTCCTAAATTAGTTAATTAATTTCTAAGTTGTTCAACAAAGTATTTTGTGGTTAATTAAGTTAAAAGTATTGTGTTCCGAAACATTCGTGATAGTAGAGAGATATAAAGTTTAGCGTCATAGTTTTGTACGAAGTTCAAACACACAAACAAATAAGATTGAGAGAGGGATGCGAGTGTCATAAGAGATATCCGAATTTTTAACGTGGAAAACTCTTAAATGGGGGAAACCCATAAGGTTTTTCCCAGTTGAAATGAATCCACTAATGTTTGTTGTTGATTACAAATGATGCCCTTCCTCGAGGGAGGCATTAAATCAATATACATTATATAATATACATTACATAGTTGGACAAAGGTCGGAAGGATCGTAGTTGACTCGTGCATTATTTGTTTGGAATTGAAGGAATCCAATGTCATGAGAGTTGTTCTGAGGAAATTGGCATATTCATTTGGTCGGTAGAACTGTAATCGGGTGACGGTACTAAGAGGAATCATAGTCGACAAGCAATGATGGCTAGAAGGACAGTCGGTGGGCGAAGGAGTTCAGAGGGATCGTAGTCGGGCGACTGAGATCGAGGAGACCATTGTTTTATGAAAGAAGTATGAGGAATTGTAGTAAGCTAGCGACGGAGGTAGGAGGGACCATAGTCGGTTGGTGAAGGTGGTTGGAGGGATCATAGTCAGCAGACGATAGAGGTTAGATAAATTATAGTTTGTTGGTAATGATGGTCAGAGGGACCGTAGTTGGTATGTGACAGAGGTTGGAGGGACTATATTCGTGGGGGCAACGGTGGTCAAAGAGGTATGAAGTTGGTGGGGTGATGGTGATCAAAGCGACACTAGTTGGGAGCAATGGTGGTCAGAAGAAGGCCCAGTGATTGCTGGACGATGGAGGTCCAACGACGATGGTCAGACAAAGGTCCAATAGAGGCGGCCTTATGGCTAGGGTTTACTGATTGTGGTGTCGGGGTGGAGCTCTTGGGTGCTCAAGCCTTATAACTCTCTTGAGTCTCGAACCCATGGTCTAAACCTTCAAAAGTTCATCCCGCTTTTCATGTGGTCGGTAGGGGTCTATTTATAAATTTTGAGAGTGACATACCATGTAAA